GTACATGGGAAATGAATCAAACAAAAGCTGATATATCAGAAATGAAGATTACAGTGGAGCAAATTAAAAGTTTAGTGGAGCATCTTCAATAGAATAAATGAAGCAGAAGAAAGAATCTCAGAACTGGAAGATAATTTCTGTCATCAGTGGGAAGCAAACCAAAAGCTGGAAACAGAGCTGTGTCAAGCTAAAAACAGTATTCAGGAATTGAAAGACACTATTAAAAGGCCAAATGTAAGAGTTATGGGAGTCCCCGAGGGTACAGAAAGGGAAGCTGGGAATAAAGATGTATTCAATGGGGCCTGGCACGGTGGCGCAGTGGGTAAGGTCCTCGCCTTGCACGCCCGGCATCCCATATGGGCGCCGGTTCTGTCCCTGGCAGCCCCATTTCCCTTCCAGCTCCCTGCCTGTGGCCCAGGAAAGCAGTCGAGGATGGCCCAGTGCTTTGGGACCCTGCACCCGTGTGGGAGACCCGGAAGAGGCTCCTGGCTTCGGATCGGCATAGCATCGGCCGTTGCGCTCACTTGGGGAGTGAATCATCAGACGGAAGATCTTCCTCTCTGTCTCTCCTCTCTGTATATCCGCCTTTCCAATAAAAAATAATAAAAATAAATCTTTTTTTTTTTTTAAAAAAAGATGTATTCAATGTAATAATAAGGGAAATCTATCTTAATCTAGAGAAAGAATTGGGAACAATATCCAGGAGGGGTACAGATCGCCCCACAGGGTTGACAAAAAGTTATTTTCACCACAACACATGATAATCAAGCTCTCTTAAATGGAACATAAAAAAAAGATCCTTAAATATGCACGTGAAAAAAACCTCAACTGACATATAAAGGAATGCCACTTAAATTCATAGAAGACCTCCCACAGAAAACTCTACAGGCCAGAAGAGAATGGAGTGACATAGTCCAGATTCTAAAAGCAAAAAAAAAAAAAAAAAAAAAAAATCAGTCCAGGATAATGTATCTAGCAAAGTTTTCCTTTGTCCTTGAAAATGAAATAAAACTCTTGCACAGCCAACAAAAGCTCCAAGAATATGCCTCTTCCAAACCTGCCCTAACATATGATACTAAAAGATACTCTCTTGACATAGAAAAGGAATAGCACCTACTAAAACTAAAGGCAAATGTAAAGAACATTCCAGTAAAATAACGACAGAACACTAAATCAATTACAAACCATTGCTAAGATGACAGGAGCAAATGGCCACCCATTCATATTCACCCTGAATGTAAATGACTCAAACTCATCAAACGTCCTATAGATTAGTAGACTGGATTAAAAAAATAAAACGCATCTATTTGTTGCCTGGAGAAGACATATCTCTCATCAACAAAGATAAGTGGAAACTATATCTCATGGATTTTGATGTTTCTTATTTAATTTCATCTCTTCAAAAACACTGTTTTTCTCTTCACTGACTCATACAGTATCATTTTTTTCGTTTCTTCAGTGACACATTAGTCATTCAGTAGCGTGTTATTTAACTTCATGGTGTTTTTTTATTCTTTTCTGTTGTTGATTTTGGTTAGTAGATTTTATTTAAGGGGATGTACAGTACCTGTGTAATGGAGACTATCATATACAGTAGCATGTATTTAACTTCATGGTGTTGTAAATTTCTGGTTTTTTCCTGTTGTTGATTTTGTATTGTGGTTTTTCATTTAAGAGGATGTATAGTAACTGTGTAATGGAGACTATCATATCCAGATGTGAGGATACAGTGCAGTATGCATCTCTACTTCCAGATCAAAAATGGACTCCCAATGAAACTGTTAATTATGTCTTGACAATACTATGCTGGAGTCTTTCTCATTGTCCATGCCTGCAACGATGAGCATAACTGTTTGTGAAGAACTATACTATAGTAATAATATAGGGGAACTTGAGGAGGTGGGAGGAGGAGACTAGGGGAGATGGCAATGGACTTCCCAAGGCCTAGAAGCTGTATCGTAAAATGATAATAATAACAAGAGTAATAATAAGTTAAAAAAGATTATCATATGTAGGAACACCTCTGGGCACTGTGACAACCAAGGACACACTGAGGGTCAAAGACAATGGCCTGTATCCTGGTGGGACACATGGCTATGAGACCGGTTCCCTGTTTGCATGGGTCCTTAGCTCCCTGTGTCCCCAGAGTGGGAAATCTGCCAACTTCCAATAGAGGAGAAAACAATATCAAGCATGTGTGACTTTCAGACATCGAGCTGGTGCCATAAATTTACTCAGCACCCACCCATGCCTGGCACCATGGAATGCAAACTATGGGGGACAGAGAGACATAAGATGCTTGGTGAAACTTCTCATCCAAAAAGGAAAGCAGCAAACATTGATAGCATGACCTGGGGGATACCAGGAGTCCTAGCACTGCCTAGGCTTAAGCTGGAGAGGCACTGGGGAACTGTATCCAGGCACTGGAGCCCAAGTGAGGGACATGTGGACTGGACAGTGGCTCGGGTCCCAGAGACAAAATGACCTCATGTCCATACTTCCCTCCATTTGCCCACAAGAACTCGAGGAGTGCCTGTGCCCAGTGGAAAGCACCTTGGTAGCAGAGGATGAGATTCAGGGAAGAGGGAGCAGGGCCACGGTGGCCTCTGTGGGATTTCAGTCTGCTCATAGCTGGGAATGAGCTGAGTCTCTGTCATTCCAGGATGAAGGATACAGTTGAACACCTACACTGCCCCTTATAAGTTTCTTTCTGACGTCTGGGGCAAACGGTGATGAGAGCTGGCCACTCCTCATATGTGTCCTGGGATCCCTGTGAACCCAGAGTAGGAAGTTTAAAAACCTCCAAAATAAGAAGCCAGCTTTGGGCATGGCTGGGTTTTTGATACCAACATCATTCTATGCATTTATTCAGCATTCACCTATGCTTGCCCTCTGGAATCCAAACCATGTGGGACTGAGAGACACAGATGTTCCTTGAGGCTTCTAAGTCCAATTAGGAAAGCAATGCCCAAGTCCCACTATCTCATTAAACGATGAGGTCATGACCTGGGACCACCAGGAGTCTGAACACGTCCTAGGCTTATTCAGAAAAGTCACTGGCAACTGGATCTAGGCAGGTGAAATCTGAGTGTGGGATCATGAGCTGCATAGTGGCTTGGGACCCAGAGACAAGGAAACCTCATTTCCATACACTCCTCCATTTGCCCCACAAGAGCCTGAAGAGTGTCTGGGCTCAGGTGGGGGTGGGCTGGGAGCAGAGGGTGAGAGAGATCCCAGCAAGAAGGGGCAGGGGCACAATGACTTCCATGGGGCTCTAAGTCTGCTCAGAGCTGGGAATGAGCTGAGTTTCCGTCCCTCCCAGTCCTATACCTGCCACCCTTCTACAACCCCGTACATGTTTATTTCTGGCACCAAGAAATAATGACAGCCTTTGGCTGTCATCTGGCGTTCAGTGGAAAAGACGGCCTGGAGGAAATACTTTCTCTAAGGACACATGTCCAATCTGAAAAGGGAAGAAACTGACAGCCTTGCTTGGGGGCTGAGCACTGGATGTATAAAAGGTAGACGAGGGAGGGTGCAGGCAGGGCACTCCCAGAACTCAGAAGAGCACCCCATCTACAGGTCCGAAGCCCACCTAGAGTACAACCAGTTCAGGAATCCTGCAATTTCATCCAGCTAATGAGAGTCCATAAGGAACAACAAGTGCCATGAGGCAAGGCCTTTCTTCACTCTGCACCTCATTGCCATCTCTTAGAAACACTCCCCTGTGGGCCTCAAGGTTGGGAACAGCACAAGGCAACCCATTTGCAAGGGAGCCAGAAGGCACAAAATGAGTGGCAGGTGTAAGGGCTCATGCTGATGTGTGCTCCCCTGCTCCTGTGTACTGGGCTAAGTCTGTTCTCTGCAGCATTCTTACCAGGTAGCTGTGAACTGATTCCTGTTTTACCAAGAAGGCAAGAGGAGCATGATAGGAGGGTGAGGCTTATCACAGCCTGCTCACTTGAGGCTGAGCCATGGTCTCTGTCAGCACCCCAAAGCTACCCAGTATCTGTATCACACACCAAGCTGGATGTTCCAGTGCCTGGGAGCCTGGCCATTAGCCTATTGCTTTGATCTGGATCCTCCCCTCAGCTTCTAGGAGAACTTGGTCTGCCAGGGTCCTACTGCCAAGTGGGATGGAAGCTGCTGCTCTCCCCCACAGGGACTCACGTGCAGCTCAGTGTGTGTGGCTGCTTCAGAGTGCTCCACAAGAATCTCATAGTAGAATGATGGGTCTCCCCTCTTCTCTCTCTCTCTCTCTCTCTCTCTCTCTCTCTCTCACACACACACACACACACACAGAGAAACACATGGTCACCTTGGCTCTCTCTCTCTCGCTCTTACACACATACACACACCAGAGGTTGCCTTGGCTGGGTCCACCTTACATACTCAGAGAGGGGAGTCCAGCATGGCCAGCGCCCACCTGCCTGGCCCCAATTGCTCAGCCCCAGCTGCTCCCAGGATGGCCAGGCTCACAGCCTCACAGTCCTGGTTCCTCTTGTCCTTTTCCTTCTCTGGGGGCTGACCAGAACTTGTTCCCATGTGTGGGATGCTCATTGTCCTCCTGCTGGGAGCCAGTCAGGCAGGTGTGGGCACCCTTCTGGAGAGGCCAGTGACTGCCCAACGTAGGCTGGGGCTGCACCCTGGGGCTGCAGCCCAGCCCTGAGATGTGGAAGTCCAAGGACACATGAGTCCATGCATGCAGGTATCCATCCATGAGTTGCATTCTACGCTGTGGCTCTTCTCAGACTGTCCAGCCTGCCACCCCTGTGGAGGACCATGTTTGTGCCATCATCACCCATGGCAGGTACAGAACCAGGGACCTGAGATATGGGTAGCCTGTGCACCTGCAAGGAAACACAGGGTGCAAGATGGCATACTGCCACCTGGGCACTACAGCATGGCCAGCTCCAGTTCCAGCTCAGCTTGGGACATGGTACAGAGCCAAGGCAGAGAGCAGCACATGCCAGGGACTTGGGGGCTGTGACACAGAGGTGAGAAGTTTCTTGAGTGAGTTTACTTCTACTGACCTCTTATGGGCAGGAAGACCCTGAGATGGAGCCAGAAGTGCAAGCACAGGGATCAGGACAGAGGCTTTTGGAGAGGTGGGGCCAGCCTGTCACTGGCTCTGGAGGAGAATCAGCAACAGCAGAGTGGCAGATGACAGCAGCACCAGGAAGACCCTGGGCCTGTACACTGCACCCGCATCACGAATAGGTTTAGTGGTCTTGGGAGGGGGCCTCGTCTTCTTCTTATTTGGATCTTTGGTGGGCCTGGGTGTTGGGGAGGGTTTGACCCAATTCTGCCCCTCCTTGATCCACCTGGCATGGTAGGTGGTACTGGCAAAGACGGTGGGACTGACTGGACTTTGGCAGTCCCCGCTCCAACTGGTCACGCCCACTGCATACCAGGCACCATTTAAGTAGCAGGATAATGGGCCTCCAGCGTCTCCCTAGGGAGGGGCAGAGAGAGAGAGAGAGAGGGTACACAGGATTAATGAAGGTGGGAGCGGAGGTGTGAGAAGAGGGTGGGGAAGGGAAGGAGGGACTCTTCTCCTGCTTTGTATGTGTGAGTGCACACACAATTCACTCAGGTGTCCCCTTTGTCTATTTGAGTGAATGTCAGGAATGGCAGGGGCGATGCTCAGAGGACACATGTGTAGGGACCAAATAGAATACAGAGAGGACTCAACCCGACAGTTTGTTCCACTGATTGCTGGAACAAATAAGAACACACCGGCGAGCCCTGAGGAGCAGCACAGCTTCCTTCCACCTACCTACTATTCCACACACATGGGGAAGAAGGCACAGCCTGGCGTCCCACGCCATTGGTGATCAGCTGGGACGTGCAGCTCATGGTTTAGTCCTCAGCCCAGTGTTGTCCCCAACCTGTGCCTTTGCTGCTGACATCATAAGGTCACTAGTGTCTCCTCAACCTCCTCACTGAGCTTCTTTAGATTCTGCCCCGGGCTGGTAGATGTCTTGAGATGTGGGTCCCCAGATGTGGCTGGGCAGGAGGCGGGAGGTGTTCACCACTACTACCATGGAAGACCCCATCTCATGATGATAATGGGGCACAAGAAAGCCCAGCATGACAGCCCTGCTCTGAGTGCAGTTGTACCAGCAGGCAGTGAACTCCCAGTGGACCAAAAGAAAAAAAGTGGACTGATGGTGTGAGTTCAAATTGGCACCACCAACGTGACGGACTGCCTGGATGAGTGGAACTGCACAGCCAGCGTCATGATGACGGCAATGGGAATGACTGTGCTCTAGCACCCCCATCCATACCCACATGGGATGCTTGGGACTGCGCTACTGCAGTGAGCTCGGATGGCAATGCTCCAGCACCAACAGCCCTGTGTGTTCACATGATGGAGTATGATGCAGCCTTGGAGAGGCACAGCAGCAGGCACACTGTGGGACTGGTACAGAAGCCAGGCAGATCCTGCATCCTGTGTGTTGGCATTCAGTGTGGACACTCAGAAGTCTGGCAGGGCTCTTTGGGGGGTGACTGAGAAGAACTGGATTTTTGCAGGGCCCATTGGTTACTTGCTTCATCAGGGTATTGAACCTTTTTATAGAAGGATTGGAAGCTCTGCCCTACCTTAACAGTCCTGTGTAAAGACACAAGATGCTAATGGCATGGAGCAGAATGCTGTAATGCCATTGGTGATAGTAGCCTCACTCTGGGCTGAGGAAGAGGAGTTTGGGGATGTCATTATTTCTGGAGGACACACATATAAAGGATAGATGGTAGCCGAACCTGTCCACATCACTTACTGCGCACATGGACTTCTCAACAGAAGGGTCGTGGGCACATATATTATCTTCCCGAAAACTCAACATCTGGTCTGCTGGAAGGCCTATAGGGGGCATGTATTGATTCCTGCAATAACTCTTTTCTGTGAGCCTGACCTGGGCCTCCTGCAGCACGAAGGGCGCGGGTAGAGAATCTGCAAGAGGAGACAAAGGTGTGACAGCAGCTGTAGCCATCCTTCCCCTTTTGGCAACTACTCGCCAGTAAGAAGCATCCACATCAGCACACAGGGCTGCAGGAGGCCTCTTTGAGGATTGCTGAGCCCAGGAGAGACAATGGGGGGGTCCCAGGGTTTAGGGCATGCCATGGGAGGAATGGGGATGCAGACCAGGTTGCCCACCTGGGCATGGGATTTGTGGTGGTGAGAAAGAGGAGGTACAAGCATTACAGGCCCAGGGCAGGCAGGGTGTGGGGTTGGATTTCATCCTATGCACAGCAGGAAGCAATCACATGCATTCATTGAGCTCCCAGTAACCCCTGTGCTGGCTGAGTGTGCTCAGAACTGGCAGAAGAAGCGATGGACGCTGGGTGACCTGGGCTGGGCTGTAGTGCTGGCAGAGCTAACAGGGGCCATGTGGGTTTACCAGATGACAGCTGTGAATGGCCCTGTTTAGGAATGGGTGGCTTCTGGACACATGGACTCTGATTCCAGAAGCCACCCACAGGTTCTTCCTGGGTCCACGTGGGGCAGCACAGGGTGACAAGATGGTTCCTTCCTGTGCAGTGCTTGCTGTGTGTGGGCTCATACTCATTAGACTCCAGCAACGGATGCTGAAGGGCTATTGAAAATCAGCTGCTCCCTGCCCTAATGGCTTCTCCAACCCTGACCCGACTTGGAGCTGTGACTCTACACTCGGAGCTGCCTTGGACAATCCTCTTGGCCCTGCTCTTGTGCTTAGTGAGGGAGTGTCCCTCTCAGCTGTGCCAGTGCCTGGGCGATGTGACTGACACTGGGAGTTAGGAGCAGGGATGGTAATGCTGGCCCACCCTTCAAGGAACTGCTTCACCAATTGTCACTGAGATCTTCTGCCACCTCTTGAGCCTCCTGATTATGCCAATATCACCTGCTACTCTTGTTTGATCACACATGTATTTCAGCATCTCATCAGTATGCTTTCTACTGTGATATTCTTCCCTTCATGCAGAGCACCTTCCCTCTTTCACTTGCCACCCCTAATAACTTACCAGTTTGAGTGAGCTTCCCCCAGCCATATATCCAGCAGACGCTATTTATGGGCACCACTGTTGAGTTTTCTGGGAGGCAGATGGGCTGGATGTGAGAGTTGAATTCCACAGGGTCTTCCAGATGTAACAGGCTGACGTCACTTGCTAAGGGGTGCGCCTTGTTGTATTCATCTGGGGTGAAGAACCCGTCGATTTTCAACTGCTTGCTGAAGTTGGTGGGATTGCCCAGTTCAGTGTACCCTAGCCAGATGCGGTAGTCTGCTGTGATTTCTGACCTGTTTGTGGGGTGATCCTCTCAGTGCTGGATTATCCTCCATAACTGCCTTGAACCCCCTCCCTCACATCAGGGCTTAGCCTGCAAGCCGGAGTAACGGTTTCCTCCACACTCAGATTTAAATGTGTCCTGGAAGGAACAATTTCTCTATGCTGCCTCTCCCTGTAGCCTCTGATGAGAGCCACAAACATTTTTGTTGACAGAAAGAAACATATGAGGGACTCACAGACTCTGAAATCTTTTGGAGGGCACATGCCTCTGCCTCCTCTTCCTGGGATCTCACTCACCCTCTGCCCCAAAGCTCGCCCCCACTGTGCACACACACACCTCACGCTATCTGGAGCAAATGAAGGAATGTATGGACGTCAGGTTTCCTTGTCTCTGGGACCCAAGGATTCAGTTAGAGAGCCCACTGGGGTTATAGCAGGCAGTAGTCCACACCAGGACACCTGCCAGCAGTACCATATCCCAGAGCAAGCCTCCAAGGACAAGGCTAAGACAGCAGCCACCCCTGCTTTCCTACCACCTTGCCCAGCAGCTACTGGTCCTGAGGGCAAAGACGCACCTTTGTACGCAGCTTCCAGCAGAGAGCAGCCAGCTGTTGGAGATGAGGGAGGCTCCGCAGATGTGCTTTCTCCTTACAACCACACTGGCCAGCCATGGCCACCGTTCTGCTGCTGATGGCTGGCCACCAAAGATCTTCCCTGTGACTGTGCTCCTCCCGCATGCTGTGGGGACAACATCAGCAATGAGCTCCCTCTGGACCCGGTCTCTGTTCCCAAAGCTGAAATGACAGAGCTCACGTGCACAGGGGAGCACACCAGCTCCACCCTGCAAGATCCACCACTGGGTGGCCAGGGCCAGCCTCCCTGTGCCCTGAGAGCATGGCAGGAGCTGAGGGCTGACAGCAGGGACACCACTGTGACCCCATCCATCAGCTGTATGCAGGAACCATGCAGGTGAAGAGGAAGTGAGGGTCCCTGTCAGTAGCAGAGAGAGAAATTCAGCCTTTGGCTTGAGTTTCCAGACCCAGTGGGAAGGGATCTCAGGTTGTGGGAGGGGAGAGGAGGTTTGGGGCACAGGGGATCTGGGCAATATCTGGGTCCCCACAGCTGGCCTTCAGCCATCCACCTCTGAGGGCTCTTGGAGACACACATGGTCCTGCTGAGGCTGTCCTGGTTAATGTACCAGGTGAGGGGGAGGAGGAGGTGGAAGTGGGAGGGGTGGGGATCCAGGGTTGACACTCCTCCCATGGTCTCCATGGATCCCTGCCCACTCACTTGCAGCCTGGTTTTGAACGCTAGGCTTGGATGGCGTGGTCTGGGCGCTCAGTGGTGGGAGGCGCAGCCAGAGCAGGAGGGCGGCCAGTGCGCAGGCCCCTTGCCGGCCTAGCCCTGAGCGCCCCCTCCTGCTGCCTCCCATCCTGCCCGATGACTTCCCCTGGCCCAATGAAACGCCCAGTGTGCTCGCGGTCAACAGCGCGTCACGGAGAAACCGCCTCTGTGAGGTCGGTGATTATTCTGGACGCCCAGAAAGAGTGAGAGAAATTCCCCAGCCATGGTGAGGTCAATGTGCTAGGCCACGCTGCTCGGTGGGCAGAAGTCAGGGCTGGGAGCCCCCAAGCTGATGGCAGCTGGATGATCTCAGCGGCCTTTGGTTTCGAGGTTAGTGTTTGACAGGAATTAGATGATGTTGGGGCAGTTGTGGCGGGTGCCCAGGGAGGTACAGCCGCAGTCAGCTGATACAGATGTCATCTCCTCCCATCGTTTCCATTTCCTTCTTGGACCCACAACCTCACTGGCAACTGCCAGCTCACGAGCTTCCACAGCGTCATGTAAGAACCCCATGTAACCCTCCCAGGCCTTGCGGTATCCCACACTCAGCCAGGTATCCCACACTCAGATTCTCTTTCTGTTGTAGTGCTGCCTCACCACCCTAACCCCACACGTTGGGAGTCCATCTTCCCCACGGTACAGTCTTGTGCCTTGGTGCCTTGAATCTGTGTGGATGAGCCTCCTGGCCGGATCCCTCCTTCCTGAGCTCCAGTCTTCCCTACAGTTCAGTTAAAGACATTCTCACGGGAGGGATGGAGAGAAAATGCTACTACCTCTTTCCAATCCTTTTTTAGCTTGTTCCCCCTAACATTTAGTTGCTTTTATTGGGAAGGCAGATCAGATATACAGAGAAGGTGAGGTGGAGGAAGATATTTCATGCAGGAATGGAATGATAGTATAGTGGCTGGAGTCTTGCCTTACATGTGAAGGGATACCATTGGGGCTCCGGTTTGTGTCCGTGCCACACTGCTTCTCATCCAGCTTCCTGTTTGTGGCCTGAGAAAGCAATAGATACTGGCCCAAGGCCTTGGAACCCTGCACTGACTTGAGGTACCTAGGGATACATGGAAGAAGCTTCTGTGTTCTGGCTTCAGATTGGCTCAGCTCTGGCTGTTGTTTCCACTTGAGGAGTACATCAGTGGATGAGAGATCTTCTTCTCTGCCTTTCCTCCTCTCTGTGTGTCTGATTGTCAAATAAATAAATAAATAAACAAATAAGCCCTTATAAGGGATCTTTTATCCACTGGTTCACTCTCCAAATGACTGCGGTGTCCTAAGCTGAGCATATCCAAAGCCAGGAGCCAGGAGCATCATGCTGGTCTCTCATGAAGGTGCAGGTTCCCACCGCAATGGCCATCCTTGATTGCTTTCCCAGGACACAGGCAGGGATCTGGATGGGAAGTGGATCATTTGAGTGATGACCTGACATTCACATGGGATCCCTGTGCTTGCAAGGTGAGGATTTAGCCATTGAGTCATCGTGCTGGGCCCTATTTGTGGTTCTTTTTGTTGTTGAGCAAGATTTATTGACTATTCTTTTTTATTTATTTTGAGTTCTGTGGTACAATTCTATAAGGTCTGTGATCTCCCCCCTCCACCCAAATTCCCACCGCTGACTGATCTTCCCCTTCTTGTTACAGTAGTGTAGTCCTGCATAAGGAGTCATGATTCTATCAGTTTGTCATTTAAGCATACCTTGACAATCCTGGTACAGAAACGTCAGACAGTCCAGCATCCCATTGTTTAGATATATCCAACACTTTCACTGGGAGTCCATGTTTGATTTGGAAGTAGGGATGCATATTGCACTGTATCCTCACATCTGGGTATGGCAGTCTCTGCTATGCTATCACTAAACAATTCGTTAAATGAGAAGGAATGAAATAAGGTCAACAACAGGTAAGAAGTTAAACAACAACAATAACAACAACATATTATAGTACCATGGAATTGAAAGAGGTGCCACAGAATAACCAACGCATGGGTGAAACAAAGAAAACACATAAGCCTCTTGGGATAATGGTGCCTTGTGATCCATGAGCCAGCAATGATTTTGACAGGAGAAAAGAAAACATTTGGAAGAAATGCAAATGAAATAATAAACATTAAAACACATGGAATGCAGGAAAAACAGTATGGAAAGGGTTATTGAACTTAAAATTTGCATGATGGTTTCCTTATATTAGAGAGAATGTATGGTATTTGTCTTTTTGGGATTGACTTATTTCACTGAGTAAAATGGTTGGGACCATCTAGTTGTAAATGGTGTAATTTCATTCTTTTTAATGGCTGAGTAATATTCCAGTTAGTAAATGTACCACAGTTTCTTTTTTAAAAATACTAATTATTTTTATTTTCAATTTTTAAAAATTTCAATGATTTTCACATATTTGATTAGGGTGATTAGGGTCAAAGACTTCAGGAAGGTGGGTGAGATCATATTTTCCACATTCTTTTTTTCCCGTGCTTTATTTGGGGGAAGGAGAGATACATGGAGAGAACCCACATACAGCCTCTCAAATGCCTCTGCACCGTGGGATGGAGGGCAGCCACCCAACACCACCCCAGGGTCCCACTGCTCTGAGGGTCCTATTCAAGAGGTTTTAATAGTTCAGTTATTTTGAATTACTACCGATCTTGCCACTCCAAGCACTATGAAATCTCTCCAGAATTCACTGATTGACATGGTCTACCTTAGCGTCTCGGTTTGCCCAGATATTCACTGCCAACACTTGGCTGGGGTAGTTGATCTATTTCTTCTGTCCTCTGCCCACTGTAATGATACCAGGTTTCCTCCGCAGACTCCAGTGGACTGCCACATCCTCCATGTGCACCTGGGCATGCTGTCCACTGTTTCATCTCAGCTGCTGGGACGACTCGGCTCTGACACATGCACTCTGCAGTCATGAAACCTGTAATTCTCTCCAGGGTTGGGATTCTGAGTACAGCAATTCAGCTGCGGTGATCTCCCAAGGGGCATCAACTCTCTCCTCTGGGCCTTGGATAGTGATGTCTGTGAGGACATCCACAGAGGTGTTAGGAGGTCGGGCAGGGAGTACATCCCAGGCAGAGGGGGATAGGCAGGTGTGCTCTGCATCCCAGAGTCTTCCAGCACCCCAGTGTCCCCATCATCTTCATCCCAGAGCAGGCTGGGTGTGCTGGCTACCGGAGGTGCACTGCAGTGTCTCTTACCAATGTTTCCACAGTCCTCAGAGAAGGGCCAGGTCCTGTGCTGGGTGGGCGAGGGGCTCTCCAGAGGTACTAGGAGGGGTGGTGCACATGTGTGGATGGGAAGGTCCAATGTGGGACCAGCTCCTTGCTTCTCCCAGGCTGTGAGTGTGGTGGATTTCATCCCAGTCTCTGGGTCCCAGATCTGGGCTTCGGGAAGAGCCACTGTGTGGGAGAACAGGAAGGAAAGAGGCTCCTTCTTGGGGGACAGCAGCATCAGGACTGACACGTGGGAGACCTGGAAGAGGCTTCAGGCTCTTGCCTTCAGTTCGGTGCAGCTCCAGCCATTGCAGCTGGTTGGGGAGTGAGTCAACAGATGGAAGATCTTCCTCTCTTTCTCTCCTCCTTTTGGTATATCATACTTTCCAATAAAAAAGAAAACAGACTTTTCCTACAAGCAACTCCCAGGACTTCACTGCTGAACTCCACAAAACTTTTCTAAAAGAACTATTTCCAATTCTTCTCAAACTATTCAAAAACATCCAGAAGAGATTGCATCTGCCCAAACTCCTTCTATGAGGCCTAGGTCAGAATAATCCCCAAATCACAAAAAGATACTACAAACAAAGGAAACTACAGACCAGTCACCAGGATTGAATCAAGATGAAAAAGTGCTCAGCAAAATGCTAGCTACTAAATCCCAACAACAATCAGAAAGATCATTCACTCAGACCAAGTGGGACTTACCCCTATTTTGTGGGGATGATTCCACATATGCACATCAAAAAATGTGACATATCACATGAACAAAGTCAAGAACAAAAGCCACATGATTCTCTTAATAGATGTAGAGAAAGTCTTTGATAAACTACAAAAGCCTTTCATGATAAAAACTTGAAGCAAATTGGGTGAAGAGGGGATATCCCTTAGCACAATGTACGACACGGGTGGTAAATGTCAGATTCATTTCCGTTAAGATCTGGAATCAAATAAGGATGCCTGATTTCACCACTGCTATCAATATGATTCTCAAAGTTATACCAGAGTCATCAGGCAAGAAAAAAGTGCTCAAAGTGTTACAAATTGGAAAGGAGGAATCCAAATTATCCCTCTTTGCTAATGATGTGATCTTGCATACAGGGGAACCAAAAGACTTCACTAAGAAACTATTGGAACTCCTAAGAGAGTCTGGTAAAGCTGCACAATACAAAATCAACACACAACAT